AAATGCACTGGTAAACAGCTCAAGTGTTGCAGAATTGGTGCTACGTGCCAGGATCGTCAGCCCCCATCGGCATTTAGGCAGGTGCATTTTGAACCCCTGACAAAGTTCCACTACAAAAGGCATTATGGGGAATTCTGGGGACACGACTGGTGCTGCGGTCTAAACCACTGAGCCTCTTGGGCTTGCCAATCAGAAGGTCGGCGGTTCGAATCCCCGCGACGGGGTGAGCTCCCGTTGCTCTGTCCCAGCTCCTGGCAACCTAGCAGTTCAAAAGCACGCCAGTGCAAGTAGATAAATAGGTACCACTGCAGCGGGAAGGCAAACGGAGTTTCCGTGGGCTCTGGCTTCCGTCACGGTGTTCCGTTGCACCAGATGCGGCTTAGCCATGCTGGCCACATGACCCGGAAAGCTGTCTGAGGACAAACACCGGCTCCCTCGGCCTGGAAGCGAGATGAAACATGGATGAAACATCGGCTCTGGATCCATTCCAGTCCGGCTTCCGCGCTGGTCATGGGACCGAGACGGCTCTGGTCGCCCTAACAGATGATCTCCGCAGGCAGCTGGATCGAGGCAGGTCGGGGCTGCTGATTCTTCTAGACCTGTCAGCAGCCTTCGACATGGTCGATCACGAACTCCTGGACCACCGCCTTGCCGACGTGGGGATCCAGGGCACAGTCCTTTAATGGCTGCACTCATTTCTCTCTGGTAGGGGACAGAGGGTGGCGCTTGGGGGGGGAATTGTCATCGCGCCACTCCTTGGTGTGTGGAGTGCCCCAGGGTGCGATACTCTCCCCGATGCTTTTTAACATCTTTATGCGCCCCCTCGCCCAGCTTGTCCGGAGTTTTGGGTTGGGTTGCCATCAGTATGCCGATGACACCCAACTCTATCTGTTGATGCATGGCCATCCTGACTCGGCCCCAGACACACTGACCAGATGTTTGGAAGCTGTGGCTGGATGGTTACGTGGGAGCCGGTTGAAGCTAAATCCTTCGAAGACAGAGGTCCTCTGGCTGGGACAGGATGATATGGGATTGAGGGGGCAACTCCCATCTCTTGCGGGGGTGCAATTAGTTTGGGTGTAATCTTCGATACCTCCCTCTCTATGGAGGCGCAGATTACAGCTATAACAAAGGCGGCATTTTTTCATCTCCGCCAAGCTAAGCAGTTGGCCCCTTATCTCTCTCGCCCTGACCTAGCCACTGTGATCCACACGACGGTCACCTCCAGACTGGATTATTGTAACTCGCTCTACGTGGGGCTGCCCTTGAGACTGACCCAGAAACTCCAGCGGGTGCAGAATGCCGCGGCGAGACTCCTTATGGGGTCTTCGCTTCGAGATCACATTCATCCGGTACTATACCAGCTGCACTGGCTCCCGGTGGAGTACAGGATCAGGTTTAAGGTGCTGGTTTTAACCTTTAAAGCCCTATACGGCCTAGGACCCTCATACCTACGGGACCGCCTCTCCTGGTATGTCCCACAGAGGAACCTACGGTCTGCAAATAAAAACATCCTGAAGGTCCCAGGCCTCAGAGAAGTTAGGCTGGCCTCAACTAGGGCCAGGGCTTTCTCGGCTGCGGCTCCAATCTGGTGGAATGCTCTGTCACAAGAGACTAGGGCCCTGCGGGACCTGACATCTGTCCGCAGGGCCTGCGAGACAGAGCTGTTCCACCAGGCCTTTGGTCAGGGCGCAGCCTGACTCCCTCCTCTGGCAATCTGCACAGAATTTTGCTTAACTGTTGCCATCAATTTGATTTTAATTATTTTTTATAATGAAATGTTTTTAGAATGTTGGATTATTTGATTGTTGTTAGCTGCCCTGAGCCCGGCTTCGGCTGGGGAGGGCGGGATATAAATAAAATTTATTATTATTATTATGGGCGCTGCAACCCCATAGTCGCCTTTGACTGGACTTAACAGTCCAGGGGTCCTTTACCTATGGGGAATTCCAAATTACACATGGCGGTCATGAGCAACAAGGAGCTCAGGGGAACACTGGCAAGTTCCTCCACCCAATCCTTGCAGTTAATCTCCCTGAAACGCAAAAGACACCCGCTCCTTATTTTGCAGTGGCCTCCTCCCCATTCAGGCCGAACATTCGACAGTTCAGCCCAGCACCGCCTTATAGCAGACCAACCGAACAGCCTTCCTGCAGTCCAGAATGGGGTCTTCCAAAAGGCAACTACCGTTTCTCTTTGCCTGCCCTGCTTGCTTTTCAAACACGGCCGCACCTCCAGCCCTTCCAATACCATCTCTGCCGGGCCTACTTAAAAGGTGCTGACCCCACCCATGAAAAAGTGTGTTTTGAAAAACTGCGGTCAAGCAGAGTCAAAGCCGGGACGCCGGCTAAATTGGAAAGGGAAGTGATTTAACTGGCGGACGCATTTCTCTATGGTCTGCCCCCACTACTGTTATCAATCAACATCCCTCGTTGGCCCTCCTCATAGATTTTCTTCAATCCGGCACATTAGAACCCAGTTTTCAGGGGCTCAGCAGGATGCAGGAACGCCTTTTAAAAAATTAAGGGGAGGCATGGAAATGACCATTTTTTAAAGGGGCAGATAAAATATCATCCTGCGAAAATGGATTTGCTGGCACTCGTCACCAAAACTGAGCACCTATTAAATTACAGAGGCCATTATACCTCTTCTGTGGGGTGGGGGGGGAGAAGATATAGATATATATTCTGAAACTCTCTCCCCCCCCCCATAATAAGACAGATCTTATTATTTTAAGTGGAGCTTAACACATACTTTTCTTCTTTATGACCAGACTCATCAAAAGACAGTGCTCAGGAACTCAACACTGTGCGTTAAGCAAAGTCTGTAAAGTTCAACCAGAACAGCTTGTGGAACAGCTGCCTTGACTAGGCCGGAGCCAGGTTCAACTCCTGCTCATGCACCACGTGCACTGGGTGTCCCTGGAGCAAGCACTCTATGCAAAACCAAGGAAGGAAAGACAGCTTGGAGGGCAAAAGAACTCGAGATAAGGCATCGGCTAAAACAGCTCCTTGAGAGTATCCAGTGTGAGGGTGGGAATACCAGAATGCCGGAGGCTGTAAACTGGGCCACTCTGAAGCCTCTGCAAACAGCACCCGGTGGAAGATCAGTGTTTACATTCAAAAGCAAGCTGTGTCAAATTTCCCTGCTATCCTTTGCCCCAACCCATCCAAAATTCAGGCTGAGCTTTCAGAAGTTTGCTAGTATGGCCCAAGGCTGCTGAAAAGCAATTGCAGGGGAAGGGTGGAAATTAAGAATATCATCATCACCATCCACATTATCCCACCTTTTCCCCAGACTAGGACTCAAGGCGGCTTACACAAATTAAAACGAAGTGGATAAAATGCAGAAACTTATTAAAACATATTTAAAATATTAGTTAACAAGTAATTAAACGAGAACATAATTAAAAGAATATAGAAACAAATCTATTGAAATGCAGATAGCAAAAATAGCACAGAGCTTAAAATAACAGCCCGTCCCTAAAATCCTGTCAGAATAAAACAGTCTTCGCCAGTGGCTGGAAAGCCAAGAAAAAGAAACCAACCCTGGTTCTCTAGGAAGGGAATTCCAAAGTCTGGGAGCAGACACCTGGCACCCTGCATTGCAGGGGGTTGGACTAGATGACCCTCAGGGTCCCTTCGAACCCTACGATTCTATGAGTTGATGATCCAGTGCTAGTCCTATTCAGAGTGGACCTATTGAGGACAAGGGGCATGTCTAACTTGGGGCCGTTCATTTCAGTGCCCTGCAGAAAACATAAAAGGCAAAATCGATATCGCCAGGATTTTTCTCTTCTATCCACCGGCCATTTTGCATTAAAGCACGTGGTGGAAACACCTGCCCACTTTCCCCTTCCGATCACACGGGAAAAGCCTCGGATCCGCCTCCCGCCTTCCTCCCTGCCCCCCTCCACCCCACACTTTTAGCATTAGGAAGCTGCAAAGCACTTGCGGTGGGAAACAAAAGGTTAATTAAAAAGCGTCCCAGTCTCTAAGATGATTGCTGGGACCCCTGCCAACCAGGGAGGTTAAAAACCTTGAGTCTGGCATAGGCTGCCGGGGGGTGAGGTGAAAATTTACAGCCAGTTCCTTGGAAAGTCACAGTTCAGCTGTTCTCCTGGAGCAGGTGCTCATGGGAACGGGCCTGTCCCTTACAAAGGCAGAAGATTGATGGAGCCTTCGCTCTCCCCAACTGTAAATATACAACCCGCCTAGTCAGAACAGGTCTGGAACATCACTGGCTGACAGCGCGGGGAGCTGTGTGGGTTCACACACCCCCCAACCATCTAAACACATAGGCACACACACAGAGAGACAGAGAGAAAGACAGACAGATGTTCCTCCAAAAACTGACCAAAATAGATGCTGGAACACTCGAACTGATGAGCACTCAAGGTGATGAAAACTCATGCATGGAACTTACATTGAGCCAGATCCACTTGTCCATCTCACTCAGTACAGTGGTACCTCGGGTTACAGACACTTCAGGTTACAGAAGCTTCAGGTTACAGACGCTTCAGGTTACAGACTCTGCTAACCCGGAAGTAGTACCTCAGGTTAAGAACTTTGCTTCAGGATGAGAACAGAAATCGCACAGCGGCAGCAGCAGGAGGCCCCATTAGCTAAAGTGGTACCTCAGGTTAAGAACAGTTTCAGGTTAAGAACGGACCTCCGGAATGAATTACGTTCTTAACCCGAGGTACCACTGTATTTCAGTGGTTTTCAACCAGTGTGCCCTGGCCCCCTGAGATGCCTTGAATGATGGTCAGGGCTGCTGTGGGCAACACTGGCCTCTGTCCCTCTTTCCTTCCTTCCCTCCTCTGATGCCCTCTCGCGCCTCTGCCTCCCAAAGACTTGTGCAGCTGTTTGTTACAAGCTCCCCAGGTGAATGGTGCCTCTGGGGCTGGCCAGGGGAGACCAAAGTTTAGGAAACCCTGGTCTACACTGACCAGCAGTGGCTCTCCAGGGTTTCACACTGGGGGCATTTCCAGCCCGACCTGGAGATGCCGGGGATTGAACCGGTGACCTTCTGCATGCAAGTCAGATGCTCTACCAATGAGCTACAGTTGTCCCATTAAGGAAGCTGCCTTATGAGTTCAAAGTGTTACTACAGTCGTACTTTGGAAGTTCCGGAAGTCTGTTCAACTTCCAAAATGTTCGGAAACCAAAGTGTGGCTTCTGATTGGCCGCAGGAAGCTCCTGCAGCCAATTGGAAGCCGTGGAAGCCCTGTTGGACTTTCAGCTTCCAAAAATAGTTCACAACCTGGACACTCACTTCCGGGTTTGTGGTGTTCGGGAGCCAAAACGTTCGAGAACTAAGCAGTTCGAAAACCAAGGTACGACTGTATTGGTATCTAAAGCTTGGGACCAGCTCACCTCAGAGATACCTTATCCTCAATGTGCTGACTCCATCATTTCAAACCACAGAACTTGCACTTCTACAGAGCCAGTGTGGTGTTAATGGTTGGACTTCAAGCTGGGAGATCAGGGTTCAAATCTCCACTTGGCCATGAAGCTCTCATTCAGTGACCTTGGGCCAGTCACTGCCTCTCAGACTAACCCACCTCACAGGGCTGTTGTGAGAATTAAGTGAGGCAAGGAAGTACATTGTACACCACCTTGAGTTCCTTGGAGAAAAAGATGGGCTATAAATGCTTCTTTTTCTTTGGCGATCACTCATAGTCAAGTAAGATTGTCTTCCATGACAGTCTTCTTAATAGTGAGTCCGTAAGTGACTGTGGAGACCAATTCTGGATCCACACATCCTTTCACAGTGAGGACATGGGTTTCTGGGCGGGAATTGATCATGGTGAGGGTTTGCCAAACGTGCCTTCCTCTTAGCTCATTTATCCTTTTCACCCTGAGTTTGTGCTTCTTCAAAATCCATGACACCTTTGGTAAAGGCTGTTCTCCAATTGGAGCGCTTGCAGTATTTCCCAATAGTTGGTGTTTATACTACTTTTTTTTAGATTTGCCTTGGGAGACTCTTTGAACCTCTTCTGTTGACCACCAACTTTACGCTTTCCATTTTTAAGTTTAGAATAGAGTAGTTGCTTTGGAAGACGATAATCAGGCATCTACACAACATGACCAGTCCAACAAAGTTGATGTTGAAGAATCATTGCTTCAACACTGGTGATCTTTGCTTCTTCCAGTACACTGGCATTAGTTCACCTGTTTTCCCAAGTTATCTGTACAATTTTTCAGAGACATTGTTGATGGAATCTTTCGAAGAGTTGGAGATGGCATTTATAAGTGTTCCATGTTTCACAAGCATACAGTAAGGTTGGTAGTACAATAGCTTTGTAAACAAGCATTTTGTTTTCCCTGCGAATGTCCTGGTCCTCAAACACTCTGCACTTCAATCATGAGAAAGCTGCACTTGCAGAGCTCAGGTGATGCTGGATTTCGGCATCAATGTCAGCCCTTGTGGATAGATAACTGCCCAGGTAGGAGAAGTGATCAACATTTTCCAATGTTACATTGTTAAGTTGGATTTGTGGCACTGCAGAGGGGTTGTTTTGTGCTTGTTGGTGCAGCACTTTGATTTTTTGAATGTTGAGCAATAGGCCATGCTTTTCGTAAGTTTCTGCGAAGATATTTAGGATGGTTTGGAGGTCATCCTCTGAGTATGCACACACTATGTTGTCATCAGCATACTGAAGCTCTATGACAGAAGTTACGGTAACGTTACTCTTTGCTTTCAGCCTACTCAGATTAAAGAGCTTTCCATCTGTTCGATATATGATTTCTACTCCGGTGGGGAGTTTCCCTTTGACAAAGTGTAGGATCATGGCGCTGAAAATAATAAATAGAGTTGGAGCGATAACACAACCCTGTTTAACACCTGATCCCACTGTGAATGGTTCACTTTGAGAGCCATTGTTATCTGCGATTGTTGCTGTCATATTATCATGGAGGAGTCGAAGGAAGTTCACAAATTTATCTGGGCAGCCAATTTTCAGAAGGACAGTCCACAGGGCATTACGATTTACAGTGTTGAAGGCCTTAGTCAGGTCAATAAACGCCATATACAGGAGTTGGTTTTGCTCGCTGCATTTTTCTTGAAGCTGTTGAGTGGTGAGCATCATGTCCACTGTCCCCCTAGAAGGTCAAAAACCATTTTGAGATTCAGGAAAGGTAGCCTCAGATATTGTTAGGAGATGGATTGCTAAGATCCTTGCAGGAATTTTGCCAGCCACAGCTAATAAAGAGATGCCTCGATAGTTTCTGCAATTCATTCTATCACCTTTTTAAAAAAAAGAGATTGGTAATTTTGGCATCCCTAAAGTCTGCTGGGATCTCCTCTCTCTCCCAGATTTTTTTGATGAGCTTGTGAAGTTGTTGTGTAAGTTCAATTCCACCCACTTTGAAGACTTTGGCAGGTATCCCATCAGATCCGCTGGCTTTGTTGTTTTTAATTTGGTTAATAGCTGTACACAACTCACCCAGGTTTGGTGATACTGCAAGCTCATCTCTAATTTGTTTTTGCGGAATTTGTGAGAGGACCTCAGCAGCTACGGGGGAGTTGTGCTTAAGGAGATGCCGGTAATGTTCTTTCCAGTGCAGTACAATAGCTTCTTTATCTTTTAGAAGTGTGGTACCATCTGTTGAGCATAGGGGGCTTTGAAGAAACTCTGTGCATCGTGAGTGTCAGCTAAGTGCTGGATCTCTTGAGCTTTTTTTTTATCCACCAGGTGTTCTTCAATTCTCTGGCTCTTTAGTTCTCTTAGTTCTCAGCCTTAGCATTGGCATAGGTTTTTTCTTAGTAGCTCAGTTTCTATCTCTTTGCCAGATCTGAAAGGCCTTCCTTTTCTTGTCAATAATGTGTTCAGTCTCACTGTCATTCTCATCAAACCAGTCCTGGTGTTTCTTGGTTTGGTATCCAATAGTTTGTTCACAGGCTGCAATAATGGATGTTTTTAACTTGGTCCCGTGTTCCTCAGAAAGCAGGTGGCCCTTAAGAGTCTATTGGAAGCAATCCCGCTTAATAGGATCTTGAAGGGCTTGAGTGTTCATTTTACACCTTGGTTTCCTTCCCTGAAGCCAGTGTTGTGGTATAATCCTGATAGCCATCGTGGAATGCATTAATCGGTGATCTGTCCAGCAGTCATCGGCACTCGTCATAGCTCTGCTAAGGAGCACATCACAGCGATCTTCAGCTCGGAGAATTACGTAGTGTAAGAGGTGCCAGTGGTTCGACCGAGGGTGCCTCCATGATGTTTTTAATTTATTTATTTATTTGTCAAAAGAGTGTGTTGGTAATAACAAGGTTGTACACTGCACATATAGTCAAAGAGCCAGTGTGGTGCAGTGGTTAAGAGCGGTAGTCTCGTATTCTGGGGAACCGGGTTCGGGTCTCCGCTCCTCCACATGCAGCTGCTGGGTGACCTTGGGCTAGTCACACTTCTCTGAAGTCTCTCAGCCTCACTCACCTCACAGAGTGTTTGTTGTGGGGGAGGAAGGGACAGGAGAATGTTAGCCACTTTGAGACTCTTTCGGGTAGTGATAAAGCGGGATATCAAATCCAAACTCTTCTTCTTCTTCTTCAAAGGTAAGATTCCGTTCTGGTTGCTTTTGCCAATTCTTTATTTCCCAATAGTCCCAGGCCACAAATCGAAATCTCACCTAGGTGTAGCTTTAAAATCACCCAGGAGGATAATTTTATCCTCCTTAGGCATATCTGATAGGAGCTATAAATGCAATGGCTGAATAGATGACTGAATAGGTGGTGTGCAATGTTAATTCTGCGTTCATCAAGAGTCATGTTTCCACTTTGGAACTCCTTGCCTAGTGACATTTGGCAGCACCATCATTCTTTTAGACACCGGCTGAAAACATTTCAGTTTCTGCAGGCCTCTTCAAGCACATGACTGGTGACATGTTTGATTGAGTTTTGCTCTTTTCCAATGCTTCTACCGTATTTGATACATTACATTTTTGCTTCTATGAAATTTGGTTCTCTTCTATCCAATGCCACACACACACACACCCCACAATATCAAAGCGTTCCCCTCAAAATTTTCACCCAGGGACAATCTGATTTGCGACGTGAGACTTCTTTATCCAATTGCTTGGGATTTTTACAAGCTGTCCTTGTCGCGCTTCCTCGCACCCCCTTTGGAGCAAATCCATTCCAGAGATACACAATTTGGGGTTTCCGTTCATTTGCTCCAAACTGCATACCTTGCAAGAGCTCTTAAGCTGTGTTTTTAATTGAAGACACAGCTCGTAAAAGGTAGAGCTGTGCAGGAACGGCAAGGAAGTTTGTTTATCAAGGGTATTTTTTTAAAAAAAGTAAAAAGTTAGCAGAGCTTTAGATGGGCAGCGATGCCAACTCTTCCCACTTGTCAGGGACTGGACTGAGGGAGATGAGACTGAGGAGAAATGGTGGAGATCGCTGCCCCTCTCCTCCTGAACTTCCCAGAGAAGAGGAAGGCAGTGTGGAATTACAGCAATGATCTGAGGAAGGTCACAGCTCAGAGGCAGGTGAACAGAAAGAGTCGGTGTGCAGGTCCCGGGGGGTTACCGTGCGGCGTGGCCCGAGTCCAGTCTGAGGTCGAGGGTATGGTATGGAGGCTGTCCCTCAAGACTGAAGCGGGGTCCAAGGCAAGGAGTCGGGTGTGGTCAGGAACTCTGGCAGAAGAGCAGGACAGGGTGCCGGCAGGAACAGGTTACCAACAATATTGCTCCCGCCACCTGGGACTGGGCTGGCTGGCTTTTATCTCCTCTGAGGCATAGGGCGGCCCCGGTCCACAGGTGACTCGCCTCTCCTGGCCTGGAGTCAAGCACTCCTCCTGCGAGAACTTAGTCCCCTCCACCTCTCTGCCCTGAGCCTTTGCAGCTCAGGAGAGGCTGAAGGGTTACTGGACCCAGAGACAACCTCACCTTCCCCTGATGGGGCTGAGAGTGGAGCACCTGCAGGCAATGGGTCCTCGATCACCTCCGGAGCCAGAGCAGATTCAGCTGGTGTCTGCTCTGAGGATCCGGCACAGGTGAGAGCCCTTCAGGTTCAAGCCCCAGCCCCGGCTCAGCTGGTCCTGGAGGCGGGGACTCCTGTGCAGGCTGGGAT